CTCCTGGCTCACCCACAGGCGCAGGGAACCCTCTTCCCTGGGGATGGAAGCAGCGGGTCCGTGGCAGGGGCTCAGCTGGGTCCTGGATGTCCCTCGGCAGAGTTTCCAGAATCAAACTGACCTTTGGAATCCAGTATGTTTTCTGTTTTGATGAATAGAGAAATAAAAACAAAATGCCTTGTAAACGAAGGAGTTACATGTACATCCCTTTCCCTGTTTTATCAAAGGACCTTTCCTTGGGATTTGACCCTCACAGCACTGTAGGGGAGACGCTGAAATTGCTCGGAGGGGTCCTGAGGGGCTTTTCAGCTGTGCTTTCATTAAGCAGGGTGCCAGGGTTCAGCACAATCAGTTCCTGAGGCAGGGGAGGTAACGCACCAGGAGGGAGGATTACAGATGTGGGAGGTAAAACCAAATCTCTGTAGGTGTTTCATATCCTCCAGCTCCTCAGCTGCTTCCCTACTGCTCACTTCAGGTCAGCTGGCTGAAAGCGCAAAGTGTCCGGGCTGGACAGGAATCCAGCAGACAGGTTAAACACATAGTGGGGGGCGGTTCCAGAAACGGGTTGTCTCTGTCAGCTAGAAGGAAGGAAAAGCCATTAAGATTGGTAGACTAGCCCTACGCTCCTAGAGAAAAACAGAAAATACAAAAATATTTCTATTGGCTACAGCAAATGTAAAACTGGCTGTTTTCTTTTGGAAGCCAGGAGGTAAGTCTGCAGTGACGTCTGTTGGAAGTCAGGCACCAAGCAGTCCGTCTGTCTGCTGCAAGAACTGACTGAGGTTTCCCTCCCCTCAGGGCAGCACAGGAATGGTCCCAAGCCACGGCTTCAGTCCCAGATCTTATTTCTTTGACAACCCTCGCAGGTACGACAGTGATGACGATCTCGCGTGGAATATTGCACCCCAGGGGGCACAGGGCAGGTGAGTTACAAGAGGGAACCACTTGCTCCCCATTACAGAAACTGGAAGAGGAAGAACTCCCACACGCTGCAGAAGGCTAATGTGAATTGTCTTAGCTCCGGTTGTTGCATACATTCCAAGGGGTGAGGGGGAAGCTGGAGTGGAAAGGCAGCACTGAGTGACTGGAGGCATCCACAGGCCCCACAGAGACAATGGGGACACGAGAGTGAAACCGGTTTCGTAATTTAAGAACTGTGTTAAGACAGTGTGCCGCTCTCTGAAAAACTCATGTCAGGTCTCTGGGTTGCGTGTTTCACCCTCTGTTTCTTCCAAGAGTGGCCCAGGAGGCGCCATTTACTAGTTGAAGCGTGTGAGCAAGGCAACCTAGAAAAGCAGCTGTCTCCCTGCCTTCAGGGAGAGCAGGGAAACGCTGGCCAGCGCAGGCAGCAGCTTGCGACGGGGGTAGCGGGAAGTTGCCCTGTGACGTGGCTTTGGGGGTTACCCGAAACGACGGGGGCCTCCGCTTTCCCACTTGCTGAAAGCTGACGTGAAGCCACCCGACTGCTGAAATCCTGCACAACCCAGAGCGGGCACAAAAAGGCTGTTTTCTCTGTGGAACTGTGAACTTCCTTCCAGGAAGGAGCAGCTTACAGCAAGAATGATAGCACGCAGTGCGGAGAAGGAAAGGCACTGCCAGGACACCGTACTGCCCGGAGGGGCGGCTCAGGCACGTGTTACTCCTTTGCTGCTCCTGTACCTACACTAAGCTAGTACCAATTAATCGGTCTTCTTAAAATGACGGCTAACTTGCCAACATACCCAGGCCTAGTTCTTGTCACACGCGTAGCTAAGATTGTATAGTCGCTGTCTCCAAGCCCGACCCGTGATTCAGTTAAGTTGGGTATTTGGTATTTACAGTCACCCTACGCGTTAGTTTTTCCCACAGTAACTAAGCCCACCGAGGGCACGGGGGGTGGTGCGTGCGGGCCTGGAGCCCGGGGCACCCTCCCTTCCCCACAGAGGCACGGGGGGAACCAGCCGTGGGGGTAACGCGGGCCCAGGTCCCAGAGGAAACCAAAGCAGCCCCGTGCAGGAGGTTTGGGTCTGTCACCGACGGGCCCGTGCAGGGACGGGGAGCAGGAACAGGAGCACCGCTTCCAGGGGTTTCAAACACCCTCTGGAACAGCGGCTCAGAAAGGGGACGGTCTTCCGTGAACTGGAAAAATCAGGGAATAAATAGTAAGTTGAGAACGCTTAGGCCAAAATAATTGGCAGCTCAGAAAAACAAACAGCTGCCCCAACCCCTGGTTGGGGTTTTATTTCATTTTTGCACGTCAGTGTGGGAACTACCCCTGTGATTGCATTTTGCCCACATTCACTAACCAGGTACCTACAGAACCGACCTGCCAGTCACCCATTCTTCTGTTTTGCTTTTAAGTTTCTCTCCAGACTACTACGACTGGGGCCACCAGAACAACAGCTTCATGGCGTACATAGGATCCCTCCAGCAAGATCCAGCACTGGACACAGACCAGCCGAGCCCTATATAACTTCAACTACAGCGTTCCAAGACATTCCGATATTAAAACAAATGTTCCGAAAAGCAAAGCTTAGCGATTTTTCTCCACCTTTTGGTTTTTAGAAGTGTTCCTATGCACAGATAAATGAAGAACTTGTCTTTGCCACGAGCTTTTCATAGTTCAAGGAGAAGTATAAGCTATGATTTAAACTTTGAAGACTGTTCTACTTAATACCTTGTTCTAAGCCATGGTATTTTTGGCTTTGAATAGTGTTGTTGGAGGGTATAATTTAATCATTTTATGCTCATTTTAAAAGAGCAAATTTCATGAAGTGAAACGGCATAATTATTTTCTAAGTATTTTTATTTTTACACTGTGTATAAGGTTAGAAATACGTGATTATGATGGAATATACTGTAAACACATGAATGGGTTGTTCAAACGCATGACAGTAGCGATTCTTACGTGCGCATAAAAGCCCGTCAGGGAGAAATACCAACCCGATTAAATACCGTCTTTTCAAGTCACTGCTGCGTTCTCAGAGCACAGTTTACTCTTTGGGTCATCACTGCTTAAGCCATGTGGCAAGACAGCTGGAGGCTAAAAGTCATCTATGCTCTAGTTATGATCTCAAAACTCACTGCATTCTTCTAAGAAAGTGAGAAAATTCTGTCTTCTTGGCAGCTACGGGGACAGTCTCAGAACGGTAGAGTTGGGCATCTGCTCTGGCTGGAACGTTGCAAACAGGCTGAAAAATTGGAAGTTTGAAAAATTAAAGTTATGGGATCATCTCTGTCAATCAGTTCTAGGTATGTTATGTAAAAGATTAAGTCAAATACCTAGCTGGGGAAATGGATATGTGTTTCAGTACTTATTTATTGAAAACCTAGGGAATAGAACACGAGCCAGGAGTATGTAAAGCAGAAAAACCTCAAGTGGACCTAGAGGATAAATTCTGTGTAACTAGCGGGTCAGCAAAGCCGGCTTCAGCTTTGCATTTTCAGGGGTAATTTGGGTGGTTTGGGGTGGAAATGGGGGATAAATACCATTCCAACGTGTGACGTTGTGCATAGTAAGCCTAAAACTAGTTAACACTAATTCCAAGGGCGAGCAGGAACCCAAACTCTACTGCAGGTCTTTCTGTTGTGGCCAGTACTGGTTGGTATGCTCTGCTGTGAAGAACGCCACACCCCCAGTCTCTTTCTCCTTCCCCACACAAGATAAATACTGTAATAATTCCATCATTTCCCTAGGAGAAAAACCTATTGTAGTGAACTTTACTTCTCTAGCAGCAGTTAATTTTGAGGTGTACTGCAGCACCCCCAGGCCTGATGTTTTCCTCATTCAACTTCAGGAGCTACAAGTAGGGAAGTCCTGTATACGTTTTGCAGAGGATATACAGGAAAAAACAGAGGGATGGGGAGTAGATCTGCTCGGGGCTGCTTGGAAGCCAAAAGCACAGCAGTGCCACACTCGTATGCCAAGTCTTCCACTGGGTCTTGGATTTTTGCGGCCTTTGTGGTAAAATCAGAGCATGAGCCTCGCCTCTGGCAGAAGCATCCTGCCAACTGTTTGCCCTCCAGAGCTTCCATTAGTTTCTTCACTTCTTCCTGAATGTTTGTGGAAGAAAAAAGGCAAATTAAACTATCAGCCAGAGCTTAAAAAAGGTGCCACAGGGTTAGCAGAACAGAAATTTTATTAAATCCTTTGGAATTCTACAAACATGTTTGTACAAAACTGCCTTAAGACCTAGTACAAGAAAAGTCTGCAGGAATTACATTTTCTTCACAGTAGATATATCTGCACAGCAAAAATTTAATTATGAGAATTCTGTGCTTAAAACAAGCTTAATCCCTATGCCACAGTACGCATGCAAAAAACAGAATTAAAGTGACTGTAACAAATCATAGTAATTAATTAAATACTCTTTAACACAGGGGATTTAAACCACAGTGTGAAAGGTAAGATCTGAAATTTAAATTAGTCACTATAATTATCATCACCTGTGTAACAGGTACTTACCCACCTAAACTGGGGATGAAGTACGTGTATACTGATAACCAAATTTTTAGTAAGATATTTTGTTAAAAATGCAGACATGGAACGAAATAGAAAGCTGCGGAAACCCTGTAGGGGGAATAATTTTACACAAAGAGCCCCACACTGGGTGAACCAGCCAGAAAAAATATTTACAAAATTGATTTTATAAGCTATTCTGAGAAAGGGACAGAATGGGCCAAAGCGCAGTTCAAAATAAGCCTTTTTGCCTCTTAAAACAATTGGACTTACACAGTGGCTGAATTTGCCCATATTCAGACAGAACCTGTTGCAGTTCTGCCACATGCATTTCAGGTGTGCTGACACACTGCAATGCACTGTAAACAAGATACTCACAGGTTACATTCATCTTTCGGATGGAATTAAAGTGAAAATGAAAGCCTGATCATCACCTGAAACTTAAATGACTCACACGTTAATAATTTAAATAATACCATTTCTACCAAGTGTAGTTGAAAGGTAAATGAAAAGTAAAAAAAATTTCAAATGAAAAGCCAAAAATTACATTCACATAAAGAAGTTGTAGCAGAAAATACTTTAATTTGCATTTCGTAGATTCAAACATGGCAAAGATTCAGAAGTGTTTAGATCTCAGTAAGCAGTTCCAACATTGACTGTGATTTTAATAAATATTACACTTTAACAGGCTAGCTACATGGAAGAATTGTAAAGTGATGAATTGCTGATTGCTACTTTATAAACATAAGCATCGAGATTATTTACAAAATATTACAGGTCATTTCCCAGAAGAGCACAAAGCAAGGTCAGATAAAGGCAACCCGACCGTCAAAACACAACTCAGGGAAGCGTGGCCCAGTGTATTTCATGCGCGTACAATGACAGACGGCACAAATCACCAGCTGAAGTAGGGGAAACGCTTTTGTTGTTCCAGCTGACGCAGGTCTGTCTCACTGTCTCCAATCTATATTCTCACCTTCCTCCTCAGGCACTGAAGAGCAAGTTGTTCAGCAACAGCGCCCTGCATTTTACCTTTGCAGTTTGCACCAAGTCTTTTTTACTGTTTCACATAAGTCTTCATGACCCGGGAAAAAGGAAACGTTTTTGTCTTCGTCTTCTCACTAGCTCTGGGATTACAATCACTCTGTCATTTGTACAGGGAAATGTACCTTTACTCTGAAATGAACGACGGACAATGTTGGCAAGCTGATCTCCAACAGGGAGCTGGAATTTAAGATCGTTTACAGGTCACGGACAGTGTAACTAACCGTATTCTTTAGTATAAAAATGGACCCGTCGGTTTCTAAAATTTAGTTTAACATACAAAGAGCTAAGTCATCCGACTTACATGGCAAAACTTCATAGGCAGCATAATCACAGAATGTACAAATACGGTAAAAAAAGACAGTGACAGGAAAATGGTTTCAACTAGATTTGTAACAGGAAAATTCTTATGTCCTATTTCGGCAATGACAGTGAAGTGAAACGCCTTCCGTACTCGATCACCAAGCGAGACGTACCTTCAAACGCAACCGAACCTCCCCATACACAGAATTTCCTGTTCAGTTGCTTTCCTGTGTTTTCATGACAAGCTTCTCGTCTCTCTATGTCCTTCCAGTATTAACCGTGCCTGCACTGTGCCAAGGAGGGGTGTGAGGAGCAGATGCCCAGGATCTGTGTGTCCCCTGGGCCTCTCACCCGTCCCGTGAGCAAGCGGGGGATAGTAGTACGCGATGCTGCTTCAGTGTCCGTAGATTTTAGCCAGGCACAGGTGGAAAAAAAAAAAAAAGAAAAATAGCAAGCTGCACCCCCAGAAGAAGGTTGGAAGCAATTTACTTTCCCCACCAAGTGAGGGGGGAAAAAGGAAGAAAATTCTCAAACTCAGGTCCTTCCTGGGGTAGCGCAGACAGCACAATTTGTTTTCAACTAGAAAAATCCTGCCTAAAGCTTTAGGCAGTATAATGTACGACAACATAGGTAAGTCCCAGCCACACAGCATTCTTCACACAAGTGAGCCTACAGGTTCTAGCCCTTGCAGGTCAATCCAAGAGGCAAGGAATTGATGGCCAACTGAAAAAACCACTCTCTCAATATATACAGTTACTGCGAGGAGTTAGATACTTGAGGTGTAAATCCATTACCAAACACAGCTGTGTGAGCTAGTTACCTCGATTCCCACTTCAATTTAACAGAGGAAAATAGACACTAGGGTGCAAACACAGAGCTCAGAATAGGCCAGATGAATCCACCTAGAGATCACCTGCTCTCCTCCATTAACTAGAAAAAGGAAGCCTGTGGTGACATGCTCAGACCCGGGTGCCCACAAGCAGGAGGAGAAGCTGCTGGGCAAGAACGTAACGGCCCCAGACCGGCATCAGCTTTCTCTAACACCACCTTAAATTATCTGCTGGCTTAAACAGGAACTTCCAACTGCGAACCAGTTCACTGCCTATCTGTGCAACTATCACCAAAACTTCGTGGGGGTGGTTTGTGAGGGGGTTTGGTTTTGTCCTGTTTTGTTTTCCATTTATCTTATCCCAGTTCGGCTCAAGAGGGTTTACTTCCTTGAGAAACAGTGTTTTTTATAACAGCAAGTGTCAGCAGGTAGTCTCTCTCATTTCCAGTCAGGTAGGTATCTGTGGCTACTCTGGAAACAAAGGACACGCAGCGTATTACAGCTTTTAGAAAATCTCAGCTGCAAAGGACCGCATTATGGAAGTCAATACAGTTACAATCAATTATATAAACAGGTCACTAAATATCTGGTAGCGTGAAAAATGTCTAAGAGCACTTTATTTTGTGAATACTAATTTTTTAAAAAAGGAGCTATATCTACACTGTACCAGCACTTCTTACATTCATAACACCTAACTTCACTTTGAAACATGCTGGTTTAAAAAAAATTTATTACTTCATTTTAAATTTAAACCAGTATTTGGTTGCTACTAATCAGTAGTGCTGTTTCTGAATTCTGTTTCGGACAACTGTAAGTTATCATTGACATTTGCAGGCAATGATACATGAATTCCTTATTTTATGAAAGTTCTGTTATTAACATACCCGTTTTTTTATGCTGAATATCCTTTTAAAGAAGATACAGTTAGGGATTGCATAGATAGAGTATGCACTATTAGATGTCAGTGTGATTATGAAATTTAAAAAGCATCTTTTTTAAAAGTGGCTACAAAACCAAGTTCTTCCTGTTTGCACTGACCTTTTAACAGCACTAAAACACAACCCATAAAGAGCAAATCTAGTTCCACAGCTCAAAGATCAAGTGTGCTATTTTAACATTTTAGACATTAAAAAGACAAATTCTGGAAACTGGATTTGTGATTACAATCTAGAAAATAAAATGCAACTTTGATTGACTGAGGCTTTTCAGCTAGCAGCACTCCACCAACCATCTCCCCCTGCCCTGACCCCCACCCCCAGGCAAACGCAGGCAGCCACGGGGCTGTGCAGGAAAGTCACTTCCAACTGTGCTGCATCAGGGACAAGGTAGTTTTTTCAAAGAAGAAAGGAAATTCTGAAAAGCAGCACATAAGGAAAAACATGTTGGTATCAGCATGATGCAAAGGAGCTTGGTAGGAAATAAAGTTTTCTGCTCAGTAAATTTCCTATTTTTAAGTAAGTTTCATTATTACAGTAAGAAGTCAAAACTCAAGGAGAGCCTTATTTCCTTTCCTGTTCCACCCCCCTTTTGTTATTTTCTTTTAGGCAGCCAGAGTCGGCATACCCAATCCTCAAAATACACTGAAGCTCAGTACTGGGGAGAGGCAAAAGGTGAACCACCTCTCTCAGGACAGGCCAAGTCAGTGTAGAGGTACGTATGTTTTTGTATAAAACATCTGCCTCAAAGACAAGAAAATAAAGAAAATTTATTAAGTTTCAGTACAACAGAACTGTGAGCAGAGAACTTAAACAGTAATCAGATCAGCATAATTTACACATTTAAAAACTATATATTTCATTCATAAATATATTTTCTAATTAATAACCATTTCTAGTTTAAACATAAATATTCAAGTTGGTATTCAATTTTACTTTTTATCAGTTCATGTGAGTCCTGTAAGGATCAGTTCCTTCTGCTCAAATGCAGTCATGTAAATGGTCTTCGCTAATGGGTTGTTCAAAGGCCTTCATTACCTAGTTTGTTGTAATAAAACTTTAAAATTCTGCAACTCTCTTATACTTGTGGAAAGCCTGTAAAACAAAAACCCCTGAAGTGTTAGTAAGTCAAGTGCAAGAGAGAAGTGCAAGTCATTGTCTTCATGGGGGCTTTTTGTCTGGTTCTTTTCAAACACAACTCTGTTCCCAAGATGAACACTCTTAAGATACTACTTTCTCTCAAAAGATCTACTATCTGACTCTCCATTATATTTACATAATATATGACAAGGATTAAAGTTTATATTTAATGTTTAGCTGTCCTGACTTCATTAAGCATCAAAAAATCTCTAACTAGAGGCAATAAAGTTTATTATATTCTTTCAAACAGGAACAGATTGTTATATTCAAGATCTGAAAAACTAGCATGATGAACAAAGCAAGTTCTACAGATCTTTTAAAGCTTTTAAAATGTTTTATTTCATCACCTGGAGTAAAATTTCAAAAAATTAATCAACCAAAGCTAAAGTCTTAACAAAAATAATCACATCATACACAAAAATCCAAAAGCCTAAGGGGCTGGATGACAGTGTTTAAAAAAAATCTCCAAGTATTTTTCTTCCTTTTCACTACTCTTTACGTACACACATTTAAAACAGAAATAGAAAATTCCGAACACTGACTACAGCTGTTCTACAAGGAGGAGACTTACAGACTAATGCTTACGCTGTTGCCTTTAAAAAGCTACAGCTACATGTACAATACCATCTTTCCACAGACCTTGTGTGTCAACTTTGAAGTTTTATGGGTTTTCTACAATACAAATGATAAAAACTTACCTTCCAAAGGCATTTACAAGAGCAACTATTTCTTGACGTGTGAGTTGAAAACCTTTCGATGGGCTATTCTCAGGAAGGCTCTGTATTTCTTTCTCGGAAAACAAGATCTTCAGAGCAGTTCCTAAGCCTTGAGTCTACAAAAAAAGTCCAGTGTTTTAACACCACTGAGATCACTCCTTCAAACACTCTGAAAACTGTAAAGAAGTTAAAAAACTACTCATCCAGGCAAACTGCAGTACCTGACGCTCCCTCAACCCAAACAGCTGCACGCAAACCAGGTCACTTATGCAAATGCATGCCATCAACTGTGTACCCGGTTCAGTCACTTATTTAAGAACATTTGTTTCCTCAGGTACAGTTGCTCTTCATCCTTCTGTTTTTAATCTCTTCCTTTCCCATCTCTCTTCTCCTCAGGCACAGCAGAAATTTGCCTGTTACAACCCTTCCAGCTCCCTCCCACCCCTCACCTTACAGCTGCCCCACTGTGGCAGGAGCTGCTGGATCAGATCTCCCCTTTTCCTCTCCACTCCCCCTTCTAAGTCAAACTAGGTTTTACTATGAGGTATCACAACGGTTCTGCTTTTTCCACCTCCAGTCCCCGTGGTAGACACTGCAGTTTCAGTTTCAACTCCTATTTTCTATACAGAAATAAAACATAAGAAGCTATTCTTGCTTCCCTGTTTAACCAGGCTACAGAAACAACCACTGGATTTTGATACAAAGCGGTTAAAGCTGTCTGTAAGAGAATTTTGTAGGTCAGGAAATATGGCCCTATTTCATTTTGTGTGAGAAGGAAAAAACAGTAATAGATCAGAAGCATTAACTAGGACAGAGTAGGTAGAACTCCAGAAATTCAGCAGAGACCACCAAATTTTTGATGTTATCAAGTTCTTTGAAAGCTGAACTCTGATGAGCTTAATGTTACACAGCAGAATAGTACAGTAAGTACCCCAGAGCAACAACTATTCTCAGTCTGGGCTTAACATTAGTCTTAAGATTTAAAATCCTGTTCTCAGTAAAACTAGTAATTGTCCAGAAACTGAAACTGTTTTTCAACTTTCAGCTTTACTGTGCACCTTTGCATTCATTTGCTGCCTTCTGCATAAATGGTGAAAATATTATACTTCTTTTTCTTATGCCTCAATTTGTGGAGTTAAATCTCATGCTGGATTTTCTAAAAATTAAGGGAGTGCTGTATATCCAGAAAGGCTTCCCACAGGTGATTCTACAAGGCTCATGTGATCACTGAATACAGGCAAGCTACTGACAGCCAGTAAGACTTTGCTGTGAAGCATCTGCTTTAAATAATTTTTTTTCAGAGAAAACTAACTAAACTTTTTAGTAAACTAAACAGCTGTTGACCAAACAAAATAAACATTTTTTTTAACAAAATAAAACAAAAATTTAAGTGAACTAAACATATGTCTATTTTTAATATATAGGTAAAGATATCGAAGACCAACCATGTGCAGAAAGTCTGAATGCTGAGGTAAGAGGAATCCTGCCAAACTGAAATAGATGCTTATTTTCTAACCTCCTCCACTGCCATGCACACACACACACATAAAATAAACTGTACCTGCAGTTTGCCCCACAGCCTGCATTTGTCACATCCAACACAATCCATTATGCGGGATATGTTCTTGAAATGCAATCTGAATTCTTCCTAACAGTTAAAAACAAAATAAAAAAAGGTTAACTTAAAATACCCCTTAGCTCCACAAAAGCAGAAGGTTAACTAATCTAGGACCACTAGAATATCAATTCTCTATTACTAAAACTGAACAAAACACTGACCACCTTATGTGGTCAGGCCATAACAAAGGTCCCTGCAAATCCAGAACCTTGTTTCCAAGCCACTGCTAACAGCTAATTCAAAAAAAGCCCCGAATACAGGACATGCAAGGTAATGCTTGGATTCTGTACGCTGAGTTTCTACCAACTTTCTCAAAATTTTCTGAGCTCTAAGTACCCTATCTGTGTCCCTGCCCAATTTTAATCTCACTATTCAAACCCCTTTTGAACTAACCTACCTTTCTGACCAACAGACAAACAAGTTATAATTCACAAAAGACATTTCCTGTCCAAAGCTATGGGTAGATTGTTGCTTTGCGGCTTCAGCCAGAGTGGAATCAAGCACAGCACAGAACTAATTGAGATGATCTCAATTAAATATTTAAGGTCAGAAAAATACCAGCTGGGCTGATAAACTACTGGCACCTTTCTAATAAGCATTCTTTCTAATGCTGATGAAATTCCATACCCCTACCGAAATAAGTACTAAAAGTGTTAATCAGTATTAAAACAGACCTTATTACCGAGCCACCCACTCCAGCTGCGGAACTGTAGTACATACCAATCCAAACACCAGCATGTTAACACTGGAAATCGCTAGGTAGCAACAGCATTTGCATTAGGTTCCCATGTCTAGGAATTATGCTTTTCTAATGTCGAGCATAATATTATATTACATTATATTATACTATAGAAGGCATCAGCTTTTAAAGCAAAAAGCACTGTTTTTTTTCCAGTTACTTATGTGAAACAAATACTCTGTTTTAAAAAAACACCATTGGATCTACTGGCAGTACCAGTTCAACTCATTTACCTCACCACAGTCCTGATAGCAGATCCAAGGCTCTAAACCAGAGATTTCAGCCTGCTTGGCTCAGGGCAACATCTTGTATTCATTTACTAGAAAGTAGATTAAGAGGCCTTGGATACAATTCTGTAAGCTTTCGTCCCTGCCTTTCCTACTCTCAGCAATATGCTTCTGATAGGTAGAGAGGTTTTCTAAAATAGCATAACTTAATTCCAAACCAGGTATTTTGGACGTCATTCAGAAAACTAGCTTTACCTTTAATGACTTGGCTCCTTTTTTATCTCCAGCAAACATGGACTTTTCATCAAAGTGCATATGGAAGGTCCTAATAAAGACAAAATGTAAAAAAAACAATTGCTGGCATAAACTACAGTGTTCCATCAAGCTCGGCGAGCAGCTAACGCCATCCACATAAAATGCTTTTCAGAGTACCTAGCCTTTGCAGAATAGCTCCTAACAAGTTTACTGAATGGGATCAGTTTTACTGTTCAATCACTGTAACTTGAAATCTGTTATTTACAGTTTTGTTGAGAATTTTCTTTGCTCCATTTCCACTGATCAAGATTTCTTTCTAATATACACTGAAATTGTCTTAATGTTTGCCTTTCAGTTGATTGTTGTCTGACCACATCTCAAATACCTAGCAAGATGATGATTAGGGACAGCAAAGAAGCCATACAGCATATTACCAATCACAAAAATTAGCGAGAAGGTGAGCAAAAGAACTGGACTAAAGAACCTTAGAGAGTAAACAGAAGGAAGAAGGGATGGCTAAAACCCCAGATGTTAAGTCTATGATAAAAGCTGGATTACTCACTGGATCGTTAAAAGACTATATACACTATTTTCCTTTTCAAAATAAACCACGTACATCATACTGAAGAATCAGAAAAAGCAACAAATCAGTAGCAGTCCAGGGTGGTTTGGTTTTTTTTTGTTTTGGTTTTTTTTTTTTTTTTTTTTTGGGGGGGGGTGTTGTTGTTTGTTTGTTTGTTGTGGGTTTTTTTGTTTTTTTTTTTTTTTTTGTTTTTTTTTTTTGTTTTGTTTTTGTTTTTTTTGTTTGTTTGGTTGGTTGGTTGGTTTTTTTCCCCCTTTTTTGTGATGTGTTTTTTAAAGATTGGTATATTCAAACCTCAAAAATATTAACCCCTTCCCATCAAATGGACAGATTCCTCTTGTTCTCTCCCACTACTTAATTTTACTTCTTCCTTCCACTCTCCTTGTCCTATCCTATCAAAGAGGCATCTATTCTCATGTGCAAATATAACTGAAAATTTCAAACTCTTGATATAAAAAAAACCGCTATGCCTTACTTTGTATCCCTGAAGATATCTAGTAAGAGAGCTTTAGATTCAGCATCCTCACGGCCATTTCCAGTGTAAAGGTCAACAACTGAACGCTCAAAGTATGGTGCAACCTTTGACAAAGCACGTAGCTCTATCAAATATAAGAAATACAGATTTTTGAGCCTCCTCGGTCCTTCTCCTTTTGTTTCAGTAGGGTCAAAGCGGTGAGTGAATTCTTTCACGTTCGGTCCCCAGCGAGGCTTCCCCCAGGTTTCTACACAGAGGAAAAAAAAAAAAAAAGGGCAGGGTAAATAAAACATACATAATTAGAAAAAGAAATCAACTCAGTATACATCAAACATTTTAATCAAAAAACAAATACATGTTACATATATTGTAGAATTCCATTCAGCTATTTTACCTAGACTTAAATTACCTTCAAGGAGATAATTTGCACACAGATGCAAGTTGATGCTAGCATGAAGTCCAGAAATGAGTTTATAAAACACTCTTTTCTCAAGACAAAGACCTGTCCAGGAAAAAAAAAAAAAAAACAGACCCCAAACTAAATACTGGAAATACTGTATTAAAATGAATATACCTTCACATTTCAGTGATGCAAGTCTGCACCATTTAACTCTCTGGAGTTACAACTGCAGTACTTCAGCATTGCTAATAAGCCCTTCTATCCACCACAGGAAAAGCTTATCTCTTATATTTTTTAAATAAAGAAGTACTAACAATGAAATTTTACATTTATTACTTGGTATTTTAGTGTCCTCACAAATGAAGTCAAATGAGTGTCTGGTCAATCAGTACAGATAAAATTGCCACGCAAAAATAAGATGCTTACATCGTTTGAGCAATAAATTTCAGTCTTGAATTTTGACAGTCTGAAAACCAGAACTATACCATTACCCATCCGAATTCGAACTAAAGCTACCACTGAATTAGTGATCTTACAAAAGAACATCAGAAATCCCAGAAAACCTTATGGCATTGGAAAACAGCAAAAATACTTCTTCCAAGCTCCACTATAAATTCACTGAATATTTAAATGCACAGAACAAAACCTTGAAAAATATCACTTTGATACACTTCTACAGTGTAAACAGAAACACAACAGCATTGGGTGGTCAAAATATACTTTAAATGCAGAAATTATTTATAATACCGCTCAGATCCAGAAATAGAGACTACATTTGGAATTTAGGAGTTTGTTTCTTTCTCAAAGATGTGTTTGGGTGACTTCCCTGCCACTCCAATCTCCACAAACAGAAGCAGGAAGAAGCTGATGGAAGCCTATTTGTGAGGCAGAGATATGGTCACAATTACAGTAAAAGCATGTAAAAATTGTATGCTTTCCTCCAAGAGCACCAGTTAGAGATTTCTGACGAGACAAGCAAAGGCTTATGTGAGGGAGCATGAACTAAATTTAAAATTAAGTACATTCCACTAATTTACTTTTCCACACACCTCCAAAATGTGTGCTCCAAAACTGATTGCTACTTCTGCAATAATAATTTCCATTTAAATATGAATAAAAACCAAATTGCTTTGCCTTCTGAACACACATTGCACTTAGTTTATGTACTGGGAACAGAACCATCAACAACTAAGGTTTTTATGCTGTTTTCAAATAAAACTGCTTAGTAATATTACTAATAATAATGATAATGTCCCTGCTTAAATGTCTAAAATGAGCAGAAAATTCCAAGTAATTGTTATTGAACTCTCCCTTTATAAAAGATGAAATACTGAAGGGTTTAAGGAATATACCATCTAAGTGAATGAGAAGATTTCCAGAGACCCTCAAGAAAAAAAAAATATTCTTTGAATGGTACTCAGAAGTTCTGCACAATTTACTGAATATTTTACAAAAAATATTTGGGGAGATGAAAAAAAATACTACAGTGTTTATTCTAGTGTATTTAACATTATATTAACCCATCCAAGAGCCTTTACCTTCTAGCCACGTGTAGAAAGATTCTCCTGTAAATACAAAGTATATAGTTAAATGAAGAGTACTAATTTTCAACATTTCAGTATCTTTACATTACTATTCATACTAACATTAGCTGCCATCTGGACATAAAGCTAAATAATTTAGCTTTTAAAGTGAGAGTAGGCATGGAAGTGCCTAACTTTGAGGTTAGTTTAAATACGTTTGGGTCAGTTAGGAGAAATACAAGAATGAGCATGACTAAGCTACTAGTCAGGACATTCAGAGGTGTATGGAAGCACAAGCCTGATTATATGCACTAGTGGTGAAAGATGTGATGGAAGAGTGTAATTCTATCTGATAGCCTTTACTCTGACTGCTACTATCTGAAGGTTTCCTGTAGGCTTAGACCTTTTGCCTGAGAGTTTTCAGTTGAATGAAAAATCCTAAAGGCTGTCTCACTGTAGACAGACCAAATGCTTTTTCTCCCCACAATCAAGGACATTCAAGAAAATACATAAAAAACCTGTCCCTCTTCTTTTAAGGGCTCTGACATCAGTATCGATGGCACTCTGGAGGGGACCCAAGAATCCTTTCATTTGTGCATCTCCAGTTATCTCGCTAATAAAATTATCACAATGTATTCTGTTACAAGGATAAGAACCAACAACAGAACTGTATTTTGCTCTATCCACTCCTTCCCCCTATTCCAAGTGAAAGAATTATCCCAATAAAAACATTTTCTGATTAATCATCTGCATAAAAACATAACTTTATTGCTATTGCACTAGAGGGCAGGAAAGTGAATAAATCAGATGTCCAAAACTCTTTAACTCTTACTTCATCTCTGCAAGTCAGGCAAAATAAGACAACTTACCATCATCTCCTCCTGACGGGGGGGGTTGGGGGGCAAGGGGAATTAAAAAAAAAAAAAAATTCATAAGCATTAAAAAGATCATTTCCACAGCAAAGTAGTAATGAAACACAGGCTTTACTACAAACATGGAAAAAGTGCAAGAAACCTTATTTAATCTAACAAACATAGGCTACTTTCCATCCTGAGACTAAACACATTAAAATAATGAAAGTCACTAAGAATTTGAAATCTTAGTAACAGCTGATTCACATATTCTTGAAAGCTGTGTTTTAGCTTCAGAAAGATGGTTAGGAAGCTGTTGGCTTCAGTTCACGTTATCCAACAATCTGAACAGTGCTCCTTTCTGAAATTCTGATCTCTAAGTTAAACTGCTCTTACAATTCTTTTTATTTGTGTCTACAAGCAATGTATTATCTCAATATTTACAACTACTAAAAGCTATCTTGATTTTCTACTGTGTGGTGATGTTTTTAAACTCAATCTATTGGCCAATAGTTAAATTTTAAGGGAAATGAGACACACTGACAGGGAAAAGCTGACTTATTTGGAACACCAGGTTACAGTTTCCAATGTAAATTTGAAAACTTAAAACCCAAGTCATTGGCATTTTTTTGCTTAAAACATTCTTGCAGATAACTGAGCCTTCCAAAGTATCCACTCTTTCTTCAAATAATGCAATTGTTTGTACATTTGTAATACACTAAACTTTATGGATGGAAAATGTACGGCTACATACACTAGGACGACTGTGAGCTAAAGTGATTACATTAAATGCTATAGGAATTAAAAACAAGGGAAGAATGCAAGTGATGAAATTTTTGTTGAACTTTAACTCCTTCCCATCCACACTGGAAAATTTGAGACTTACTTTAGTTTTCACATTAGCTCCCCTGGCTTTCGTAAGCCTATTCATACGCAGAAGATGAAGCATGCATGTAATCAAGTATTGCAAACCTTAAATATTGAAAATGGACAGCTACTTCTACAGAGGAAATTTAAGAAAGCAGAAAGCACACCTACAGACTGAAGATTACTATTTGTATCACTCGTACAGCAATAGCCACTATGTTAAAAGAACTGCGTTACAAAATAAAAGTCAAGACCCACCCCTACTAGGCGCCAGTGGATTTAAAGGACGATAGACAGATCGAGGCCTAGAAAATAAGTTAGAAAACACAAAAATCAGTTTTAAGCTAAATTGAAGTGCAAGTGTAAGAAATAGGCTTCCTCTCCCTCCCAATTACTTGAAGCAGTTTTCTTCGTAGATGCTGTTCCACACTCTCCAAGCAGAAGGCCCCTTGTATCCAGTGTAACGTTCTGGATTCAGCAACAAATCCACATATTGGGCATCTGGAGATCTCTCATCTAAATAGGAAACCTTTTGTTACATATTCTAACTGATTAGTTAAAAAAAGATTTAATTTTAAAAAGTCATATAGAATCAAATATGTAAGAGGTCTCATATAACACCATTCTGTCTTCCAGTTGGATTATAAATGCCTTGAACGTAAAAATACAGCAATATACACAATAAATAGAAAGGTCGAAAGTATATAATTTATTTCAAAGTCTCATGTGTGGCCATAATTTCTACGATGTCTGAAAACCTTCTATGTGGCTTCCTCAACTCTACCATAAACACTTGTCATGCAATGTGTTCTCTCAACTTGTGCTAAGATATAAACAGTGCTTTGTTTTAAAGGGATTTCAAACTCAGGGTTTATTTGTCTGGCAGTATTTGGTGGGGGGGGTTGCCTTTTTGAAACGGGTATACTACTACAGAGGCTTCTTAATAAAGACAAGGTCAAAGAAGTGCATCTTGTAGATGGTACATATTGCATATTTATTAACTAAATCCCTTTTTTTTCCCCAGATACCCTTGTATACTGGCAGAAAGTCTGGATCACATTGCTGAATTGAACAAACTTTCAACATTTTGCAGAATGGTCTGTTGGTTATGGCAAGAAATTTTACTTAAGCAGCATTTCAACAATTTAGACCCTCATCTCTAAAATTCACTATGAATTCAGGCAACGTATCCGAAGAAAACTGTGAAACAGTACTCTGCTTAAAAACTCCATACACATAGAAACTTAAGTTTCGAGCTACAAACAGTAAAAAGCAAGAAGAATTCCCTCCTCTTTGAAATTCTAGGTCAAGAGCAACTCATGCTTAAACAAAACTCCACATACAACACAAGCCAGTAGCCCAGAGACTTAATCATAGCAATAGGCCAAGCAGTGCCACTGAATATTTCCCTCAGATGTCAAAAAAAAAAGCCACAGAAACAGAGCATGAAAACTGCTCTAAAAGGAAGAGATGATTCTGCATGAGCAGTTAAGCATCACTTCAGCAGTAGTAGCAAAAACAAAGAAGAGACAGACACAAAATGCACAACAACACAGTGAGTGCCAGATGAGACAAAGTCAAATTACAGCTTTATTTCTTCCTTTGACAGCATGGCTAACCTAAGCAGTTCCTACACTTCCTGGTCACTTCAGGTCTCTACTTTTTCTTCCTATTATCCACATACAACTCAGTCTGTGGGGCAGGGCAACAGAAAGACGGAAAGCTGACCTGGGTTATGAAGTTTTTTTCAGCTAGATCAATTCCCTTATCTAGTTTATTATTAAGCCTCAAAAAAATGAGTAAAAAGTAAAACTGATTATATGGTTTTCTTCTATAGTTGAGTGAATTAAGAGCTCTCACATCACCAGGAAGAGAGGAGATGAAAAGAACGAAAGTTTCTACCTTCTCCCATCACTCTCAGTAGTTATTCTCTCACCTCTTCCTGCTCCAGCTCGCAAACCCACCTGATAAGCCAGTTCATATAACAACCTGGGAGACGGGAGGGAGATGCCAACTTACTTTCCTGATACTCAAGTAAGCTGAATCAGTTTACTATGCAGGAAGATGCATTACAGAGCCAGTGCAAAAATAAAAAAAGCACTAGAAGATCACAGCTGGGGGCAATACATCCTCCTTCAGCAGGGCATGATGTAGGGAGAGATAGAGGTAGAATCAGGAACTACTTAAGTTAGTATTACTTCTGAAAGATATGCTCCTAAACTATACACTTCCCAACTGAGTCCTCTTAAAAACGTAAGTCGGCACCCTGAAGACAGCAGAGACAACAGCAGCTTATCGCCTATAACAGTTCAGATCTAGAGTAATGCTCACCAACTATTTATCACATAAACAGCTTATGTTTTCACAGATAAGATGCAGCAGAAGTGCTGAAAGGGAACTGCTGTTGTTAAATCCACTACAGCTGCTACTTTCTCAAGTGACACCAAACATTAGCCTAAAGGTACATTAAAACATCTTGCATTATGTCCTAAGTCTTCCTAGCATAGAAAGCTGTCTAAGGTATTTAATAAAAAGGCCTCTAGCAGTCACTCCTCAACTTGGCAATTCTCATGTTTATCTGAAAAAACATTCCTTTGAGCTTTGAATGTTACAACCAAATAAAGAGAGTCATATGTGAAGCAGAGGGAAGACACAATCTAGTATCCTAATGTTTTAACCATAAGAAAGTCCTTACAAATAAGGGTGAATTTAGTGCAGAGATCATTTAGAAACAGCAAGGCTGGAAGAGGAACAAACTCAGTCCAAGCACAGACAGTAGAAGAGCAACAAAAATAATATAGTAGGAAGAAACTGAATCAGCTGCAAGTAATTTGTCTTATATTTGTGCTAGATGCAACTCTCTTGTAAGAAGCAGCTTTTTTTAAAAAAATATATGCTAAACCCCTCCCATTTACCTTCTTTTTGATTTCCCTAAGTCACCTGTTCACTGTACTAATAGGAGGTAACAGTGAATGTGCATTATGTAGACTATCAAACGTTCCTCGTAAAAAATTGTGTTCCTTGAAATTAAGATATGAACTGTCACATCTCCATTTAGCACAAAATTAAAATTTTTTAAAAATGTTTATTTGCAGAGAAACCACGATCTTTTGTGTTTTTTAAGAGACAGCAAATAAAACAAACACTCTGAAAAAGCTTAAACATTTTACCATCAAGTTCACAAAAATGATCCTGTGAATCATCGTATCTTGCCCAGTCAATGAAAGCCTCCTTACTTTGGTTACTGAAGGGAAAAAAATACATTTAATTTTAAACTTTTCAATAAACAACATCAGTAAGAGCTACTGAAACAAACACAATCCACATATAGTTGTTAACTTGGAACTCAATTCTGAATTACTGTATCTGAAACTTGAGAACATATGGAGATACCACTTGTTAGCTGCCCAGAGATTCAAGCAGGCATCAACTGCAATACTTTAAGGAGTTGTCTTAATGTTAAGACAGCAAGAAGGACTTCACCATCATTATCTGAACAAGCTGTGCAGCAGCAGTGACTTCTCTTCCTTCAGTAAGAGCTTGGTAAAACACTTTCATAGCATACATTTTCAATACATTTCAAAGTACTACTTTTGCAGCTGTCACTTCAGGGAGGGAGAAGGAATCATCATACCTTCAATACTTGTACTTTCAATGAGATCTACAAAAGCTAGCCTTGCTTTTTAGTGGGAGACTGGATGTCTAAACATCCTCTCCAAGCTAAATTACTCTATGAATATGATTTCTCGTAAGCCTTTTAAATAGCACTGTCCACTCACCCTAGTGTTTTCAAACATGTACTGTACCAAAGAGACAAGTACTTTGAAGTTCCCACACTATGAAACACAAACAGTGCCAAAAGCTGAATTCTTTCTTCGTAAGCAAAGTTAAGATTGGGAACTCTGCTCCAGGGTGCAGTGAAGCACCTTGGAACAATGAAAACAACCTCTTCCGTTTGATCAAATTAGTACTAGCTCAGTTCTACAAACAGAAGCAATTCTACAACAAGATACATTTCTAACCTTCTGCCAAATGACAATAGGAGACCCTGTACTTGGCATTAGGTGAGGAATTTCTCTAGTAATTACTAGCAGGCAAGATTTGATAATCACAAGAAATACAGTTGATAAAGGCAAATAACCCCAAACCATGAGGACGATGCACTGCTAGGTAGAGAACATGGAGGTTTGCTGAAAAAGCACATATACTTCCTGCACTTGAAGGACCTGTTACCTGTCCTCTCTCAACTTTAATTGTCTCTCCTACTCCCACAAACTGCATTTTCTTTAGCTCTCCTTATGCATGCTCAATCTCATAATCTTTTGCCCTACAGGAGTGAAAGAGTCAATAGTTCCTTATTTCCCCTTAAAAATCCTTGGATAAGGGCTCTACCTAGTTTGCTTTAAAAACATCGCACACCAGGCAGAAGCAGTTGCTTTTTCATGGCAGTTCCATTTTGTCAGATGACAGGAAAGGGTTTCAACATCTCTATCAGGTAGAACTGATAAAACCTGTGGCCAAAGATACCACATCTCTCCATCAGAAGTGAAGAATTGATTCTTCTATTTCTACTTTTTAAAGGCAGGGAATCTAGTAGAATGCAAGTTTTTCTAAGTGCTGTTCCACACACTTTACTACTCTGGGGCAACACCATCTTGCAAAATTCCTCCCACCCAATCTGGACTGTGCCATGCAATAAGCAAGATCAGGGAATTGATCCAAGCTAAAAATAACTTTGCCAACAACAATAGTAACTCACAAGCTCCCTGATCTGGTTCACTGAATGATCACAAACGGGCACATCAGTGTAACAGAGGGACAGAGCAGGACAGAATCCTTTCACCCACCACAGTCATCAAGGACAACGACTGATACTGGTAAAAAGTAGAAAAAAGTGGGGTTTATTGCAAGTTTCCTGTGATTCTTAATGCTGTAAGATACCTCTTTCAAATAATATCAAAGTGTACTTCAAAAAAAAAAAAAAAAAAGAAAAAAGAAAAGTCTCCTTGTAAAATTGTAAAAGTCTACTTATCACTTAGCACCTTTACCTTCAGATATTCTTGCATCATTTCACATTTACTTTCTAATGGGCTATGGAAAGAATGAAGAACAAAAACCAGCACATTGCAAAAACAAGACAGACAAAATGAAATGCTCCTTTGTTACTATTTTTGTACTATTGTTATAAATCACAGCATACCTTAAGGTACTGTTAACTGCTCCCAATTTGTTAGCTTGCTCACAGTCTTCCAATTCTTTGGAATTATTTGCTGCTTTTGAATACTGAAAGAAAGTTTATATTTAATATACAAATTATTTTGCTAAAATTCTCTGAGAACAGGTGATGTGAAAGGTATTTCTAGGTTTAGCAGTAAACTGGCTAGTATCAGGGAAAATTCTCAGATTCTAGAAGCAGTAAGGAATTCTGCAACATTTCTTGTTTCTTTTTTTTTTTTCCACTTAATTTCATCAGGCCAATTTCATTCACTATGTTGATTTACCTACCACAGAAAATTCAGCTGAGTATGTCAAAATTTGGTTTGTTTCCCCCCCCCCCCCTTTTTTTTTAACATAGTTTACATTAAATGGAGTTCTAAAGTGTTTCAGATATTTATTTACATTCTTGTAAACAGACCTTGGAAGACAGCAGTGTCATGCCTATAAACATACCTTGTATTTTGCAAGCATAATCATACCCCAAGTTTCCTTGGTCATTCCAGTAGGAAAATTTATCAGTTTTGGCCATTTTTCCCTCATGTTTCATTTAATCCTATTCATTGACATGCTTTAGATGTGCATAGGTCTGAGACGCTTTTCAAGATGAACTCAAGTGTTGATTATTTTAAAGCCAGAATTGAAGTATTTAAGCTGAACTCTGATTATACAGTATTTTTAAAAAAGTAATCCACTAAAATAGACTTACTATTAGAATACTTCTAAGGAAAACTTTCGAAGAATTAAAGATTAAATTCCACTATTCTACAATAATATGGTTATGTCAGCAGGGAATTTGTTGTCTGACAGCTTAAAGCTCAAAAAAATCCTTCTAACACTTTTGGAACGTAATAGATAGTATCAGTCCTCTCTTAGAAGATAAACAAACCCAATTTCCTCTTTTTTGGGGTTTTTGGGTTGAGGTTTTTTTTTTTTTTCCTGTGTGAGCCTTTCTTTCAGACTGAGCCTTAGGTTTACACAGATTTCTACCTTATCACAGTCCTTAAGAAATAGAGAAAATGATTTAACATTCAGTAACTGACAGCCTATATAAAGCTAAACTGATGACTTCCATTCACTTCAGAGCACATAATGACATGAAGAATTTCTGTCCAAAACCAGCTCAAAATAAAAATGTAAGATAAAGGCTTTAATCAATCCTTCAGAAATAGCAAAAAACAATAATAATTTGATAAATTTTAAAAGAAATAGAATAGTTCATATCTGAGGACAGACTTATGGTCAAGATGCCAGAGGCAAAGTACCACCACAATACGTATCACAATACTTCTCAAAAAAGACAGTATTTAATTAAAAATGTTCAGATAAGTAAGCAATATGACTTGCTTTAAATACGTATTTGCCAGAACCAATACAAGAAAAAATAGCAGAACCCACTGAAGACCAAAGAAGTGAAGGAAATTAAAAAACTCAAATAATTTAAACCTCATTAAGGGCCTTACCCTTAACAACTATTTACTCTAGAAAAAAATTCTCATTCAATTTTCTTGGATTTTCCAGGTGTGGAGGCTCATTCTTTAGCATCTTATGGATGTCAAAATGAAAAATCTGAATAAGGAATGGATCTGACCTAAAATGAAACAGATATTGCTGACAAAATAATGTACTAAGATGCTGAAGTAAACATTCTGCATGTCTAGAGTTGCAAACCAATCCCCACCCTGAAGTGAAAAAAATTCCTGCCAAGAATATAATCCTACATTTAAGGTTTCAAACAGCATGAACAATCAAGTCTCAATACAAGTTTCCGGGCTTCACTATTCTCCAGTGTTTAACTGCAACAGGTATTTGATCAGCGCTCTGTGACCACTAACTAGATGAGGATAAAGTGTCTCTTCCTGCCAAAGCAGGATCTCCTAAGAGCAGCTTCTTGAAGAAAACAGGAAAGAGGTGGGCAGGAAGTAAAATATCAAGTTAAATGTTGTAATCTTGAGTTACTGCATCCTGTCCCTTGCTTCAAAGTTTAATACAGCAGCTGTCATGACCGTTCTTTAATGTCTAGCCCCTCAAAACGTGTTTACCACTGAAACGAAACAAGACTATAGAAAGGGAAACTATTTTGTGCCTCTCTAGCACCATTTCAAAAAGCTTACGTTGGTTCCAAGAATTAAAAAGAGATCCTCTATTGCTAACTGCACTTGTGTGGGGAAGCTGTGCAAGTGTAACCTTGGTCTTTGTGGCTAGATGAGCTTTCAAAAGAACTGTTCTCTCTGTGGCTCAGCAAACAAACAAAAAGATCCCCCCATGAAAGCCTAAATAAAGCTAGAAGTTTACAAGCTCATCTACATTAGGAGAAAAGGGCAATAGGAAACTGCAGAGAAGCCAAGCACTTAGACCACAGAAAACTTCTCCACAGGATTCTACTCTGAGTACATCTACTCAAGAGATTATAGCTCTCAGTATTAAAATGATGGCTTTGGCTGTTTTCACCTTCCCAAGGCAGACACTATCAGGAGGAAAGAGAGAAGATGGACATGTAAGTCCTCAGAGGAAAAACACCATTTTTTTTGTTTAAGCCAATACTTTATGGATAATCCACAAGATGCAGGACTTTCCCAAATGGACCAAACACAGGCTAAAAGTATAGTACTTGCATAGTCCTCTAAACAAAACATCCATACTAAGATGAGTTTGATGTTTCCTTAAAAGGGATATTAAATGAGATTGTCAATTTTTAATTGGCTCCAAGAAGGATCTTTAACTGAATCATAAAAAGCAAGAAAATGGTGTACGATTTATGTCAGTCCTGATGACACTTTTCCTGCAGAAATATTTTATTTTCCAAAAGAGAAGCAGCAGATATTAATGTCTTTGTTCTACTACATATTGAAGGTGCAGAACTGCCTAACTTTCAGTACTGTAGTTGGTTGTAACAATCTACAAGGCAATTCAAAGGAAACAACTGCAGCAAATACACCAGTTTCTTTATTGCAGTGAAAGCAAAAGGTGGCTGGTTTTTCACTTCCGAAGTCCAATTCAATAAGCTCATGTGAATTATCTTAAGAACAGCATTGGCTGTCTTTGGCTACTAATTAACATATTACTTAAGGCTCTGAAGATTAATCAATCAGGAAGCTCAAATGCCTACTAGAAGAATCCTTTCTAAAACAGTCTTTAAAGTCTTAAAATGCCTCTTTAGCAGGCCTTACAGAATTCTAGGAGTCAGTTTCTCTACAATCAAGCTTTGAAGAGAACAGAGTCAATGAAAAAGAGAACTGACAACAGATTATGCAGCTAAAACGCAAGATCTTCTGCCCATAGATAGTGCCAAAGTTTTCCCAGAACAGCAACTGCTGCTTGTGTTAAAATGATGAATGACTGACATTTAAAGTGATGTCAGTGAGAGAGGTGTTTCTTCTCTGACCACCAGAAATCTTTAAATGAAGAGGCACACTTAACTTCAGAGTGAGCTTAACAATATATGTATAACCAGGAGACGAGACTTCCTCTTGAGCTAAAGCTTGGACAGGCTTGCCTGCAGTGTTCATGACAGCGGGACATAGAAGTCATCAATTCACGATGAAGTATTCCTCCCACTGTCTTTGGTAATCTTTTTTGGCATAAAGTCTAAACTTAATGCAAAAGGTCATTTATGATATGGTGAGCTACACTCAGGTGAGGCAAGCAGCAACTATGGCTGCCCAGTGAGGAAGTAGTGGGGAAGATGGAGATATAGTTAATCAAGAGTACGTATGAGTCTACAACACAGCCAAGACACTCAACAGGAAGATCTCTCATTTGGGCACCATTATACCACCAACTGCTAAAATCCTTATTCTTGGGCACTGTGTTTGGAATTTGAGGGTGGGGAAGGGTTGTTTGTCTTTCTGCTCTGACCTCTTTTCTAGGTGTATATACCCTCTTTACTTTTTTGGCTTTGTTAAGATCACTTGGTGATCTAGAAAGGATGGCTTCAAGAGAAGCAAACAAAAGCCAACAGCACAGACTGACTACTTAAACTTGTGCTGACCACTTTAGCCTACATTGCCTTTAAACTAATAACCAAATCATCTTTAGACTAATGACCTGCTCAAGATTAGACATGGCAAAACTACATGTAATTGTTCAGGTTCTTTTAATATTAAGAGGTTCTGGTTATATATAGTTCTTACAAGATTGCATCTGTGCATCTTAGCCTATGGCTTTATGGAAGGTGGCCTGTACTCAGAAATGAACAAAGAATTTTGCATCAGACATTCTGTGGCCATGTACTGCTGTCCCCGATCATTCAGTGATTCAGTCTGTACTGGCTCTCAAGCTACGACAGACTCAGAATGACATGACAGTACCAGCTATGTTGGAAAAACTATTATACGTAGAAGTAAAAATGTAAGGCCACATAGAGAAACTGATCAGTTATGTTAACAATTACATGACTATCTCAAGACTGAAGGTTTGTAATGAAAAGTCACACAGCTACTGTAATATTAAGATTTAAAAAAAAAAAAAAAAAAAAAAATCGCCAAGAACTTAGAAAATAAATAAATGACTACTTACTTTATTAGCACTCCCAGCCTTAATTCCAACAGGTATTTTGCTCTAAAAACAAAACCAAAAAAAAAAAAAAAAAAAAAAAAATCACAGTTTCTACATTCTTCATAGATCTTATTATGCTTGATTAAAATCTACAAATTAAGTATCATTCCTACAGAGGTCAAAGCAAACTTGTTTTTAAATAATTAACTTGCTCATTTACCTTCTCAACATATTATATCCAAAACAGTGCTAGAGCTTAGAAGAGACTTATTCTTAAAGTTATTTGTTTTACTGGTAAAGTGACTACAACCTGAAAATACTTTTGTTGCATTTCTGCTTTTGAAATGAAAAAATAATTTTGTCACTCCTTTATTTAAATTTCTCATTAGTAAGTACTGTTAGTATACTATTAGTTACTGCAAATTAGCAAACTTTTTAACCAAATAACCTTTTTATATTATTTGATGCATACCTCAGGACAAGGCTCCACATGACAATCTTTGATAGAACAATGGCCATCATCAGCCCAAAACGGGCACGGTCTCTTCAGGTTGACCTAAACATGCAAAACCAAAAGTTTACAATCAACACTTACATATGGCAACTTTAAAGAAAGAGCTCTCAGTATCAGGAAGTCCTTTCAAATTATAGGAGAGGATATAAGGAAAAAGAGTTAAATTTAGCACTTTAACTTTGAGGAGTTTTGTGAGGGTTTGGTCAGCTGGTTTCTTTTAGCTACTCTTCCTCCAATTATGTAAGCTGAAGTTTGCTGCAGTGGAATTGCTAGTGATAATGGTCTCCAGTGGACACAAACACAGTATACTAAAGCACAAATTAAATCTCTCACTACTCATATAACTTTAAAGCAGTAAATAAACTACTAAAAAGAAGGCACATCAGACATATGCAGCTCTAAAATGTTTGTACTTAGAATCAGCTCTACTTACACTATACTGATCAACAAAATACATTTCATAGAATTATAGAATGGTTTAGGTTGGAAGGGACCTCAAAGACCATCAAATTAGAAAGCTGATACAGTACAAATATAAATAATTAAAACACTTCAGAAACATTACCAGCAAATCCTGTGATGATTAGTGCTCCTATCTGTCATCAAATGGCACAACAAAGGCAGAGAGTACCACATATATTAGTATATACTACATGGCAAGAGATTCAAACACTTTACTACACTTCACTTGGATTGTCAATGTGAAAATCAGTGAAGAAAAAAAAAAACCTCAAACCCAAGCTTTCCTTTATATTAGCCTTATATATACTAACAAACATTAGTGATAAAAAACGTTTTGACCTCAACACTCCTAAACTGAATAGTACAAACTAAAAGGTTTGCATGATTAACCTGAAACACTGCAGTAGTACACCACTATTCCTGCATGATTAACCTGAAACACTGCAGAAGTACACCATCTTTGAAAGCTAACATTACAAAAAAAAAAATACAAAGCATTTATCCTCAGTAGTAACTACTATTTTACAGATTAAAAGTCCATTTTAAAACTTAAAAAAAAAAAAAACACAAAACAAAAATTACTTCTTTTGTTTTCCTTTAGTACTAGTTTTCTTCAGTTGATAAATACTATTTATTAAGACATTCAACTGAAGTCACTACTTATATCCAACAAACTACATCTTGAATAATTTGATGTACCACTTCTTATTTGAAACCTGAAGATACTGAATTTGATCCTGTAGTCAGACACAGAGCATAAAATGCACTGTAAAATTAAGCCTAATACCCCAAGGATAGCATCAGGCCCTAGAGCAGTTTCAACACAAAAAAATAACTATAAATGTGCTTATAAAAATTATTGAAATCCATACATCTTAAATCAGAAAACTAATCCTTATGCTAGTATATGGGGAAAAAAATACCTACAAGCTGTAAAGTAAATTAGTAGTCACACACTATCAAGAACAGTTCTTGCTATACCTAATAGTTTAAAAGATTGAGATGAAACACTTCATTTTATTCTTCAGAAAAACATGTTTTCCCCTTATATGCAGGAACATTTTTCTGATTCACGTAATTTATATCCTACACTTTATATAACGAGAAGCACCGACAGGAAACAAAGATTAAACATCTAGTACAGTAGTGCCAGAGCAGCCCCTTAGGCAAAGAATTGGCAACTGAGCTCCAAATCCCATGCTCTGATGAACTTGGAGTTCACTGCATGTGGTACCTGGAGGGTTCCTGCTATGGTACACCAAACACACTACTCAGTCTTTTAACTTGTAGAAAAACTGAAATCACTGAGCAGTCTTGAACAATTATTCCATTTAAAAAATGCTTTTTGCTTTGAACACATTTAACTGGCAGAGTACATTTATACTGGATCAGTGACTTTAAGTGACTTGTTTTCTGGGGGAGTACAGTAATAGAAGGTCAATGGCTATGTTCACTGAACTGTCAAACCAGAAGCTCAACAATAAAAAAATAATTAAAAAAAAAAAAATCATCACATTTAATTTATTTTCCCAGCATTATACATAATATACTAAGCATAAGGAAAACTAGATCAATATAAGAATCTGAGATGCTTTATAGCCAGACTTTACTCTCCATCTATTCCCAATTTTGACAGCAAAGAAAAATCAAAACTATGTACCAGAAATAAAGAAACAAACTTTAATGACTGAACAGTAAATTGTTCTGTGGTACTCTGTACCCAAATTAAAGCAAAACAAAAAGAACTCCCTCTTCAAATGTTCTGTCGATACCACAAAAGATCCCCAAAGAGCAAAACTGAATGTTTGACTTGTTCAACTGCCCTTTATTATACTAAATTCCTCCACCAAACCTTTCAGCAAGTAAGTTATTTCTGTATTTTCGAAACACACATACAAAGTTAACTACAATATAGCACCCGAAGGAAAGACTTTTCCTGGTTTCCATTTTGCTGTACTTATTCAGCATGACTGGGATGTATTAATTCAGCGTTAAAATGTTAGAGATTCCTCAGTCAAAAAAACCTAACAAGACATTAAGCAGATGGTACGACTTCTTAGGAGTGATGACAACTATCTTCTAGTTACAGTTCAAGCCATGCTAGCACAGATATATTAAAAGCAGAGATTTCAGGTTGCTCCCCATCCTCCATTTCCTCTATTCAATCCAAAATCCACATTCCAATTCCTCTATTCAATCCACAAACACCAACCTTAGAAAAAAAAATATGTAAAATTTTAGAATCTTTTGTACTTGTTCACTCATCTTTTTTTAAATAAAGCCCCCAAATTGTTACATTTTACATCACCTTCACAATAAGACCAATTATATAAAACATACCCCTCCTACTAATTTCTACCAAAAAAAAGACCAGCTAACGTACTTCAACCTTCTTCAAAGTAAACTCTAACAATAAAAAACGCCAGCACACTTAGGAAAAGTAACTAGACAGTTGCTGTTCTTACACAGAGGAACACTACATAAAAGAATACTGCTGTCTAAACTACAGATTAATTCAGGAAGAACACCTGAAAATCAAGATAGACTAGTCCCAGAATGATTCAAGCATGCTAAAATCAACGCGTGCACACACACTTCTGAGACAAACTGAGGTTGTACAGCACCTGTACTTTAATCAATACCAATCATGCACTGAATACACAGGACATCCTTCTACTTTCTTCAGGGTCTGAAGTATTAGATTTTATTATTATCTTTTAGAGCATTGTTCAATACTTGTCACATAATAAAGGCTAGATACCATATCATGAGGCTTCCAAATCCAAGTTTGTGCACTTTGATGTATAAAACTATAGAGAGACAAAATTTCTTATTATTTCTTTCACTGACAGGTGTTCCACTAACTATCTAGAAAACACCTAGCACAATTTCAGCAAGACTTTAAAAAGAAAGTTTTCTTCAGCCTTAAAGAAAAACTAGCTAGTCCATTCAGTATTATACATTCAAGTTTGAGTTCCTTTATGGCTGTTGAACTAGTAACACAATGGGAATACTGTGACTGTAGTTACAAAAGTTCATAATCCAAATTCCTATTAGAAATTAAATTACTTCAGAGAAGTGTTTTCACTCCCAGACAAGTATACTCCCCCTATGCTCATTCAGTATTCAGCTACACTGTAGTTGACCTTGATGATCACTTCCTACACTTACAATTTCTACATCCATTTAGGTGTTTAACAGCACTTCCATGTTTCTGTGCAGGGACATCAGAAATACTCTGTTGCTTATTCAGAGGGGAAAGGGTGAAAAATGTTCCGATTTACTTATTCAGTTTGCTTGTTCAACACAAATTCTTCCCTGTCACCCCTGGAAGTACTAAACAATGTGTGATGATACGTGGACTGCACACCTGCCCTTGTAATTGCCCATCTATTAAGAAGACCATTACGAAAGATGAGGTGGGATTGCAACACACCATTAAAATATGATCTGCAGAACTGCTGGTTAAATGAAGATTAGCTCTACATTTGCAGGATGAAATTACTATTGTATAAAACCTTATATACCTGTTGCTCCTCCTCTTCAAATATTTTTTGTATCCTTCTGTTGCCTCTGGAGAATCTAATTACCACTACTATGTGATGTATTATCACTGAAGTTGAACATATCTTGTTTCTCCTGAAAAGTTAAGTTAGAACTGTATCATGTAGCTGGAGAAGATTCAGGGTGAAGTTACACATTACTGCTTGCTCAGACTAGAAAGGGAAGATTCTAGCTCTTTTTTCTCCTTCCTCACATTCATGACCCTATTCTGCATGAGTTTAGTACTTGTCTGATTCCAGATCAGCTAGAAAACTTGCTACATCCCGGGAAAAACACACCAAACCAAACACAACAACATACAACAACCAAACCCAAACATCCAAATTAAAAATCTACCAGGTTAGAGATGCATTGGCCTAAAATACAGTCAGACAAGCCCAAGAGCTAAAAGCAGAGAAGGGGCAGGATAGCCTGCCCTAAAGGAGTGTAACTTCCTTTTTCCAGTGGCACAGAACCCTCAGATCAGCTCAGTCAAGGTGCAACCCCATTTTCAAGTTAACCACATCTCAAAACAGATTTATCAGGCTTCAAAGTCTTATTTTGCTCATCAGATTCTAATACAGTGAAAAAATGCCTGAAGTCATAAAAAAAGTCATATTGCATACTACTTGAAAATTGAATTTTTTAACCTATTTTTTCAAAGGAATAACGGTTCTCTAGATAGCAAACACTAAAATCAGAACTAGGACAGCAACTGGCAAGAAAAGGAAATCATTGCAATATTTCCATTTCAAATGACAAACATTTCTTAGAAGACAAGTACTGCAGAAAGTTGCTGCCAGAAAGCTGCTGTCAGAAAGTACAGTCCTTTTCTAGATGCAGCAGTACATAGATCTTACCTTTAAAATCACCACTTATCAGTTGAATGAAAGCAGTCATGATTTACTGTCACTAACTCCAGGATTATCACAGCAAACGACTTATTATCAACATAACTGTTAGGGGCTGAAAACCTGCTACAACCAAATTAAAGAGCTGTGGGCTTCTAAAAGACAACTTCATACAGACAAGTTGGTTTGATATGTAATCCTGCCTACATTTTCTGGATTTTATTTAAATTATTCAGGAAAATACCATTCTAATTGTACCTTGTAATATCTGAAGTAATCACGTTCTTGCAGCTTCTGTATTTTGGGGAAGATCTTGAAAGTATTGAAGTCATCAATGCTTTCTATGTCACATAAACAATCATCTAGGACTCCTGTGAGCTATTAAAAATACATAAAAAATTATTTTTAGTCAAGAAATTCAACATTAATTACAGAAAAATCCTCTCAAGAGGAAAAGATGGCAGTCAAAAGAAATTAGTGAAATGCAGTTCCATCGCATTTCTCATCATTAAAATACTCTACAACATACCTTGCTCAGAATTAGAAAATAACAGACCTTATCACTTTTTTTGAGCTTAAGTCCATCTCCAAACACAATGCTGAATCTGTTAGCCAGATTAACACTTTTAGCCCTAAAATTTGTTGACAGATTCAGCATATAGAACTTTCTGCAGAACAAGCAGCGAGATTTTCCAGACTACGAACACATGGTATATTAACACATCAGAGTTGCACACTGAGTATTCTCCTACCCAATGTTCATTAGTTGAATTGCCTAAAAAAAAACCCGCAATCATGCACTGCCATCTTATTTTTATAATTCTTCTCAAAGTGTAAGAACACTCCAGCTAGTCTCCTTAGAGGCATGGGAGAAAGAGAAATAGGTACTTTCCTGCCCAAATGTTAGTAACTTCACAAGTTAAATTCTGCAAATTAATACTAGGAAAACCAGGTGCAGGCACCTATATTGTAAGGCTGTAAATCTGTTGTGAAGCTAAGTCTGAACTTCCCAGGTTCTCTCCCTCTTCTTGTGCCAGGACAGCAGGCTGGTTCATGGTACTGCACTAGCTTAAGAACACCTCTACAAGAAGGAGTGCACACGAGTGCAGGAGCGCTACTGCCAGCACAGGAGAGGAAGGCAGGACTGTGCATGCAGCAGAGAGGACAGGCCCAGCTAACTGAGCAGCCTAAGGTGCTGCAATACTTTTGGTGAGACCCTGACAGCATCTGAGTGAAAGGTGGAAGAACGGAAAGTATGATTCTATGAACATTTGTACAATAAATTTAATTAAATCTCAACTAACTACTCCTAAGCATAGCTTCTTAAACAACTACAAATATGCTTGAAAAGCCTTTCAAACAAAAGTTGGAAGGCCTTAGACCATATCTAAGGGAATAGAACCAAACACAGCTGTCAGCTACTATTATTCCTCAGGTAGACAGGAAATTCATCGATATACGTGACGGCCTAGAAAGCATATAAAATAGGAAAGCCCACACATCTTATACCTTGCATGGGCTTAGAAGAACTTTTAACTATTAGAAGGTTATGTGCAAAAGGAGATGAAAAATATTTTGTGGCTTTTTTTTTTCCCTCCACAGATTTCACATAGATGAGATTATGAAATCATCTAATGTGTTTTATGCATGATAAATCACTCCACTACTTTACAGAACAGATACCCTTATATAACCAGCTTGATGTAAAAGTCACTAGAAACCAAACTGTAGGCTTCTGGTCTTTTATGAAGAATAAAGGAGGCCTGGAAAATGGATTTCCCCCAACCCCTTGTGAGATTAAAGAGGTGAGGGGATGACAGTAAATCATCTAAGTAGAAAATTCACCTTATATAGATCCTGTTTTTCCTGATGCACTAAATAGGCTGTCACAATTCTGCAGAATAGATATGGCAATGAAGTAAAACTCATTTAAGGGAAGTTACTTTACCCAAAGCCTTCCATGCTGTTATGCTTGCTTTGTTAATGTTATCTAACTTCAAACCTGGGCAAACAGCTACGAAAGAGCCTGTGTGCAATGACAGGTTTTTCACAAAGCCAAGAAAGCTCACAGCCCACATGACTGCCAACTTCAAAGTCAGAAGACAAAACTAGTTATTATTGGTATTTACAGAAATTAAACCTCCATGCATTTTAATCCATAATGATTTCACTAAAAATTTCATCATACCACAAAACAGTTTATTTCATTATAACATCAAAAGGCAAAAATATAACTCTGAACATTTTGCTCAAATATTATTACACTGTATAAACAGGAGAAACCTTATATAAGCAGCAATAATTTATTAAGCTGAAAGCAGGAGGAAAGATCCACGAAATTTCCTTTGGACCTAGAAGATAAAGAATAGAAAACTATTTTGATGACTACCTCATGAAGCTATCCACTGCCTACAAAAATATTTTTACCACCTATGCAAAACTGAAAATGCTTTTCAAGGGGAAAGTGTTCCAAACAAACATGCTGTAGCCACACTCAGTGTCAAAGCCCCATAGAAAAATAAAAAGCTACAGCCTCTTTATTCAACTAAGATGGCAGACTAATGGAAGTCACACCTTTACCAGACATCTTTGATAAAAACTTGATTTTAAGAACATCTTTCAAAACACAGTACAGTTTACTTAGTATGAAGTTTCAGAAGTAGGCCACCCCCCAGAACTAGAACTGGTCTAAGAAACTATTGAGAGAAAAAAATAATTTAGAGTAAAAAGAGCAAGCAAAAAAATTTCTCCATTTCTTTCTCACAACTTTTTCAAAACTGGAACAGTTAGCTCCCAGTATACATAGAAGAGCAAAATGAATGTTTCCTTGGAAGGCATGGTCTAAAATTAAACTAGGCTATATCTGTACCAAACCACAATTCATAAAATAGTTTGACAGCACATATGAAACACCAATACTGCATATCAGTGGAGTCAGTTCATAGCACACCAATACAACAGCAACACAGGTTTCAAGTACCCCAGCTAGAGGGGTTTTTTAATTAGTCCAGGTATAGTCTTCAGTGCTCTCACTTGTGTAATGATGGAACACTCCTAAGAATATGCAGAAAATTCTTTCATTTATGTTGACACCCAATCTTCCAGTGAATTCTTTATCAAACTGGAGACATCAAAATAAAAATAGTGTATTACACAGTTAAAATTATGTACTGCAAGATCTACTTTGCTGTTCACACAACTGGTATTTTGCCTTTTTTAAATTGAACTATACTAGTTAACTGAGTCCACAAACATAAAGCCAAACTATACTGTAAGCTATCACAACTTTTATAACCATGGCCAAGTATTGAGCTTTCTTTTCACTTGCTAATTACTTTGAACTCTGCGATAAACTCTAAAAGCATTAACCTACTATAATTTGAGTTCAAGAAGTCATCTGACCTTGGATAGCTGCTATTTCTTCTACATTTCCAATATGCTTATCGAAGTATTTCCTTGTATTGTCAAACCTAGTTTAGTTCTTGTACAGGTATCAGAGATGTACTGGACATGTTAACCTTCTAACTTATTTTCTCCAAGATAAATCAACCTTTCAGAAGAAAAGGTCAACATTCAACCTGCATCAATTTCTCTTTATGAAATCTGGAAAGAGAAATTTATTCAGCACTTCAACATTAAGAAAAACCTGAATAAATGCATATACTAACAAGCAGTCTATTCATACAAACAACCTTATTAGTATTATCACACTGTTGTACTTTAATTGCTTCAACAATTAGAAGACCACCTGGGATGCCTTGTTTTGTTCCTTAATGTTTTACTTTGCCATAGCTGCAGAATGAAAGAAAATCTACAGGTAACATGACTCCAAGAACTAACAGCTAGCTCATTTTCTCCCTGCACAAGTCAAACTCTAGGTATTTAACCTCTGAATACAATATGCTAGCAATTTTATGAAAGAGCAACAACCAATCTCTCTGCCAAGTGTCATAAGCAATCCATGCCAGTTCATTAATGGCTTCTTTAAGAATCCCAATTCAATTAGCACTTGGTTACGCTAAAATAGTTACTAAAATAAGGCATTGTTAAACCTGAGAAAACCTCAGTTTACAAGAAAAAAAAAACCTACAATAAAAGCCTTCTATTCTAGAGTACTCTAATCACTGCCTTGGATGGTCACTTACAATGCAGCATGTTATACAAAGCAGAAATCTAGAAAATATAAGAAAAATACTAATCTGATACAGAAGATAAACTTTGCTCCATGTGGACATTGTATGTCCATATAAACTCACTCTAATGTCTTTGGCCCTGCCGAAATCCTTCCCTACTTGACACCAGCTATTAATTCAGTCACAGTTATACTACTGATGAATAGCAAACTCCCAACTACAGACACTGGTCCTTCTGAAGCTGTGAAGGCAGTTCACAGAAAAACGGAATTACATTCTCATCCTACTCTGTAACGCGGGCAGACGTGACCTATACATAAGCCAAGCCTGGGTATTGACATTACCATTCAAACATATGGCTTCTCATCAACTTCGTAAGAACACCAATGTTTCTGCCTAAAGCCAAGGGTACGATGCAACCCAGAGCTCCTCAACACGACACCCCACAGGTAGTAAATATTGTTATCTGAATTAAACAACTCTCCCGTGTAGCTGGACCGTTATATAAGAGTAATCCCAGTGGTTCCCAGATCAACCAACTTCTCCCCTCGTTGTAGCAGCGGGGCCCCACAGACCAGAGGCACCGAACCGCCCGGCCCCGAGCTGGATCCCAGCAAGCAGCAACCACAGGGTACGGAACAGGCAGGACGCGGGCTACGGACCAGCGGGGGATCCCCCAGCCTTGTCCGCCGGGGAGGCTGCACAAGGCACGGCCCGAAGCTGCCCTGTCCCCCACCCCTCCGAAACCCCCTCACCGCCTCCTCCAGCCCGAGTCGGGGAGGACCTCTGCTCGCCTTCCCCTCACGCATGGGTCTACACAGCCCTGCCCAAAGCCGGTGGGGCAGCCCTATCCGGCCACCCTCCCCCCACCTTCCCCCCCGGCCCCCGCCACGAGGGGCCCCCCACCACACCGCCCCATCCGCCGCTGGTTCCTACCTGGGCCTCCGCTGTCAGAAGGCAGCCGAGCACCGCCAGCAGCCGCGCTGCCAACCGTGCCCTCGCCGCTGTGCTCCGGGCGGCACCGCCGTCGCTCATGCTGCTGCTGCTGCTGCTGCCGCCGCCGCCGCTCCGCCCGCCACGGCTGACAGGGGAGGGTGGCCCTCGCTCCGCCGCGCAGCGCAACACAGCAGCCGTCGCCGCCACAGGAAGGAGACAGACGAACCAAGGGGCGGCGGCGGCGGCAAACGTCTCCTCCCGGCGCTGCCGCTCCTGCCCGCGGCGGGAGCCGTCGGGCGGGGGCGCCGCGCTCACCTCAACCTGCCCGCGCGCTGCCGCCACAGCACCGACGCGCGCGCGCGCACACACACACACACTCCCCGCTCGCGCAACGCGCAGCACACCGCCCGCCCGCCCGCCCGCTCCTCCGGCGGCCGCGCGGGGCACCCCGGGAGCTGTAGTCCGCGCGCACGCGCGCAGCCCCCGCCGGGGCGGGGCGCGGGAGGGGGCGGGGGCCCGGCGGGGCGCCCAATCGGCGAGGACCACGCGCGCCTCCAAAACAAGCGGCGAGGGAGGGGCTGCTGGGCGCGCGCGCGCGCGCGCGGGAGGGTGTGGGGGCGGAGCGGAAGGAGTCGGGTCCTGTACGCGCGCACTGGCGCGGCCCGTGTGGGGGGAGGCACGAGCCGGGGCGATGTCGGCGGGCGGCGCCGTCCTGCGTGGGGCGTCACCCGCGCGGCCGCCGGCGGTAACGCGGGGCGGCCACGAGCTGGGGCCGCGCTAGCCCTGCGTGACGTGGTTGTGTCGGGCAGCGCCGCGGGCCGCCCCGCCCCGCCCCGCCCCGCCGCCGGGAAGTTGAAACGACCGGCGATTACCGGCGCCCGTGCCCCGCCTTGGGCCCGGTGTCTCACAGAGACAAAAAGTACTTCTGGGGCCTCCTCGTCTCCCTGCTGCTGCTGCTGCGAAGTGCTGGGAAGCGCCCTAGAGGTGAATTGTGTTGAGTGTGTAGAAGCGGCATTTTTATTTAAACTGTCCTTTTCTCTCAGCACAGCTTCTTTTATGAGAAGGTATTTATAGGAAGGTGGGCACGCCTAATTTTTTTTTTTTTTTTTTTTTTTTTTTTTTAAGAGTATCGTGTACAGGAAGATAAATACGGCTTTGCCTTGTCTGATTCTCCTACCTGTTCCCCTTCGGAGCAAAGTGAAAGTTAAGGGAAAAGCTACACACTTTCCATTCACTGGCTCTTTTTTGTTTGGTTGGTTTTTTTAGTGGAGGCACAGGCTAATGTGTAGCAGATGGAAGCCTTACATGACGAGAAGAAGGTGTTTTCACGTGTGGTTTCACCTGATACCTAAGATAATGAAATTCCAAGTTGTGTGGAAAGAGGCAGTACTATTTCCCCTCCCTCCTTCTCCAAGTTCCCCATCCCATGTATCTGAGCTAGCAGTCCTGAATTTGCATGTTAAATCAGTTCAACTACCTGAATAATTTATTTTTTTTTTCCCCTCTAGGGATAATTTTCTGCTAGAGCAGCCAGCTGAACTGACTCACTAATGGCTGCTTCATCTCTCATCCTGATCTAGGGGAAGAGGCAAGGGCACATACCCTGGTAGGAAGGAGAAAGGGTAGGACCATACCTTCCAGTGACTTCTTACTGTTAGATCAGCTTAGCTACATCGAATTTTATTATTTTTTTATTGACCCCCTTAGGGAGACTGGAATTGAGAGGTTAAAAGCTATGGTATGACATCAGTTGAAGTTGTCTAGCAGTGCTTTGCCAATAGCTATTGGAACTGGTCTAAGGCCGTTACTGCTGCTTCTTCTCAGTTCCTTTCAAAATGTTAAACAAACAAAAAAAAAAAGAAAACAACCAAACCCCAAACAGCTCAGAAACAATCTTTTGCTCCCAACAGTTAAACGTATATCTGTAATTCACTTCCAGAATTGCAAAAATTCGTATTCCTGTAGGAAAACATGAGTGTTGCACTGATTTCATGTGCAGGGTTGATAGGATTAGGTTTTTATTTTCAATCCATCTGCTAGCCCAGGTTCTTTTTGCACCCTTTCAGTTAGAGGAGAATACTCCTTTACTGGAATATGGAGACAAGCTTTGAGGTCAGGGTAAATATTTCAGAGAGCTTAAAAGTTTTTAGATTCGGCATTGTTACTTACAAATTCATTCAAACTAGTTTTCCATTATACCTATCCTTAACTGCCACTATGTCATGGATTTTGCATTGCTGAAAATGTCTTGAAAAGATGAAGGATTGGTAGCTATGAATTATAAAAACCATGAAATGGAGTAGGCAGTAGTTTTATAGTTTGGTCCCAAAGAGATAATGTAATTGTTCTTTCTTCTCTGGAGTACAGGCAGTACACCTATAATTTGGGAACAGTTACAATCTATTCCTACTTTTCAGCATCAGCAGGCCAATAAATTTACTAGATATTTCAGAAGAAATGGCAGAACAGCTAATGCTAATGTTTACATTGCCATGGTTTGCTCTCACTATCAGTACTCCTTCCTCTATCGCAAGTGGTTTGTATTTCTAACAAAGGAACTGTTTCTGTTTAGCAGACTCGGGTGAATTCATTGTATTTGTTTGCACTTTGTAGCTTTGATTCTGCAGAAGAGTTTCTATCGTGAGTATTTTAAAAAGCCCCAAAACCTTGGAAGAATCAAGCACACTGCAGAAAGGATTATGCAAATTAGATGTAAACTGTCATCTTTTCTAAGTCATAGTGTTCACTCAGTGCAGAACATTTTGTTAGTTACAGAAAGTACTCTGACAGAATATTATCCTGCCTGCATCAAAAGTCACTAGTGTTTTAGTTCAGAAGCATGAGGAATGGGCTGTAGAAATGTATAATTAATAATTTTAGGAGGCAAGAAAAGGAATTTAATTCCTTGTACCCATAAATATTATCTGCTATACCAGAACTGAATTTAGTTTAATAGTGTTTCCTAAACTCTTAGGGTACTTTCATTCTTATTTAATGTTTTAGTGTTGATTTCAACCTATGAATGCTACTTTGATAGCTGTATAAAAATGTTTTTAAAAAGAAGTAAAAATCCTGATATAGGATTTCTCTGGGAAATCAATTTCAGGAGATAGCTGCAGAAGAAACAGTCTTACAATTCCAAACAAAACCTAACAGCATGTTACAAAGCTGGGAGTGTCTACTAAGCCTGCTCCTTTTAAAGCAATTTGCCATGACATAATAATATTTTAGCAGGGGCTGAGGACAAGCCTTTACTGGCTTGTCCAGTAAATATTATCCAGGGATAATCATAGTTTACAGCTTGCTGGGCTTGTGAAAAGAGTCTGCGTATATATTTAATTTTCAGTATATATTGTACAATGTACATGCTTGGCATAAGAACAAATGCTTTCTGTGATTTCATAATACACATTGCTGTTAAAATGTCGACAATTTTATTTGCAAGCTCTAGCATTTTCTATGTTCAAGCAAAGAAAGCCTTGAACATGGGAACTAAAAACATTATTATGTATTAGTAAATAAGAGTTAAGTAATGCACATCAGTCACCCCTTCCCCATCACAATGTTGTTTTCTAGAGTGGACAGAGATCTGGGTGCACCAGTGAGTGAGAGCTGGTCTTTTAGTGGCTATAACAAATGTGCAGTTACCAAACTTGCCTCTGGCCTGCAGAGAGGACACAGTGGGAACTGAACCTGATAAAGTCCTGCTACGTTTCTTGTATTAGCTCCATCGGTGCTTTTTAGTCAGCTCTTGCTTGCCAGAATTGAGCTTATGCACTCTGGTTGTACACAGAAATAATCATCTCTGGTCATCAACTGTGTAAAAATGTATTTTAGAAATTATTATGGACTAATTTAAGTGAACAAACAGGCAAAACAGGGTGGTTTCACATTTCATGTTAGGAGAAGCTTGGTAAATCCCAGCTGCTTTGCCAAGTTCATGAACTAGATTTCAGTAATTTGAAACGTGGATTTTTGGAAATTTTTTGCCCTTGAAACTTCTGCCTTTATTTATTCTTCCAAATTAACGTTTGAATGAGTCCTCTCTAAACTTAGGAGAGTAAACCAGGGGAATCAATATGTCACAAACTTCTGTTTAAGTCTGGCAAACAGCAGCTGTGGGAGTGCGGTGCCTGCTGAGCAATGGAACGTCTTGTGGTAGCCTAGTTATGAAGATTTGACGATACAGTGAGGCAAAGCTGTGGGTAAGAACTTTTAGTGAACCACCTGATGGAAGTACAAGAAGCAGACAAGTAGTGGGGCACATGAGTCCTGTGGTCAATCAGGCCTGCTACAGCTGAAGAACTTGTACACCCAAACCCCTGTTTTATCCAGCTGTCATGAGGCCCAATACAAGTTAAGTTTCCCTGCAAGTCATGCTTCACTGACATTCTGTTCTCACCTACTGATACCTGCCCTAAACCCACAATATATGCTCAAGTCTGAGGCAAGTGTTGTAAATAACTTTTGAAAAGTACCCATGAATGTCTAGACAAATGAGAAAATGGCAGGAGTATGGCCTGTCAATGGCAAAACAATAGGTCAAATGCAGCATAGTGAAAAAAAGGAGCATTTAAAAATGTGAAAATTCAGTAGTATCTTCACAATGATTATGAGGAAAAAAGAGGATCAAGGAAGATAGAATGCAGTAAAAAAGAAAGAATAGCAAAGTACAAGGAGGGAGTACATTTTTTACAAGTTTTTGTAGGTGGTGAAAAATTAACTATAAATCTTAGCTATACGCCTGTATCCTCATTCCTGTTTCACATGTGTGTGTTACAGCTGAATGTTAACAAACTGCATTGTGTAGTGTGTGACAGCATGGTCTGAATCAAGAGTACAGAATCATACATACATGTCATTCCTGTAGTACCTATAATTTTTGAAGAAAGAATGCTAACAAAGAAATGCATGTACTAACTTTGTCAAACTTCTGGCTATAGCAGGCACAGATAAACATAAATAATCATGTTTTTTAAAAAAAAAAAAAAAACAAAACCAAAACACCAAGATTTTTGCACTTGCACTTTCTGTGAGTGTGTTTATCTGTCAACAAATCTGATTGTGAGGTAGAGATCTCAACTAAATTATTATACATTTATGAAAACAGGCAGCCAGGCAGGGGGACCCTGCAGAGGCATAAGCTGCAGCCTGAAACCAATCGTATTAGGCTCGGTGTTAACAAATCAATCTAGAGAAGGTGAAGTTTCACTGTTTCTGTGACACGTGTTTGACTTGGACACAGCACTGCTCCTGGAATGGTGGGAACATTCCCATATCATGCAGCCCTGTAAGGCAAACAAATACTCACAGGCTTATGTAAGATGGTCTAGGTGTGTGTCATTTTATGTATTTTCTCCATAGAATGTTGTTTCTGTCAAATGTCAAAATTGTGACATTCCAGTGCAACTGTAAAAGAACAGACCAACATCATTATTGGCAAAGAAAGTAGTTTTAACGTCTTAGCTGCTGGTTAATTATTCCTACTCCAAAACAGTCTCAGCATTTTAAAGAACTGGTCTAGCAACACACCGAAGCTGCTGACAGCTGAAAGCTATTGATAGGATACCTGGGAGCGAAAATGCAGGGAGGTATTTCCTAACTCTCCTGAAATACATTAGAGGTGAAAAACTTACGTTGAAACAGAAGTATTTTACTCAATATGAACTTCCTTAAATAAAGATGTTTGAAACGTAGAAGGCAAATGACTGAGGAAGAGTAAACAAGGTTGGCACGTGATACCGGCAGGCCCACAGTTACTGTGACTGTTAGCAACCTCTGTCAGGGAGGGAAAGATTACTGTTCCGCTGTGTTAGAGGCATTTGTGATCTGGAACAGAAGCTCTTTATTTCCATGGGGAAAAGCCATAGAGGATCAGTTAGAAAAAAGTTCTATAGCTTTCTTTTTTTTTTTTTTTTTGTGGGGAGATAGCAATAATATCTTGCTGGACAGGAATATATTATCCATGGGAAGAAAGAGGTTTC